ATAATGAAAATAAATTTTAAAAAATTGGAGAATTTCATTATTAAACTTGGATAACTTGGATGTTTGCTTTTTATGAATAATATTATCATAAAACTTTCAACCCATATTAAACTAATTGCAGATGAATTATTTATTATTATTATTTTTAAAATAATAATAATAATAATAATATATATTCGATAATGGCAGTTATATAATGACCTGTTTTCTTATATAATTTTTTTTTTAAAAAACTGTCAAAATTATTAATAGATAGATAACTAAATATTTATTCTTGGATAATACTTGTCTTTGAAAAACGGGTAATTTGTTATCACATTTCTTAAAAGGATTTATATTTTATCTATTTAATTGTATTTGTTTGTTTTCTCAATTTTTGTACTTTTTTGTTATTAACTTTATGTACTATCATGAGGGAGAGACCTTTTTATTATGACGTGATGTTAGATAAATAAATTGCTGTGTAATTAGCTAAATGCTTTATTAAACAAATTGGATAATTGAGATTTCAAAAATTAACAACTGTGGCATATTTAGTTTGATAACATCATTGTAGTTTAGCTATTGTGGTCGATTTTTGTTTCTAAAGATTGCAAAAAAAAACTTGTTAAATTTTAATTTTACATGTAATCCTATTTTTAACTCTAACCCTAACTTTAAACAATAAGCTAAATAATGGTTTCGGGGCATGATGCGTTTTAGTGAAAAAAAAAAGATATGTAAAGTGATGACGGAATAAATGTAAATGTGATTAAATGAATTATTCCAATTTGTTCAGAGAAAGATAATATATTTCGAAAATAATGTAAAAATGTTCAATTGTTCATACTTCACATAAAATCTAATAAATCTAATTAAATCTAATTAAAATCTATCACTAGTCCTAATTTATTTTTACTTTTTTAATTTTAAAAAATTCTTTTTATATCAAATCCGCAGTTCTAAATTGGGAATATAATTAGTAATTTACTTCGAATTCCTTTAATTATCAAGATCAGATCAAAAAAAAAAAAAGTAGATCGGTAATTCTTACATTGAAATTATTCATTATCTTTATTCCGCATTCTCTCTTTCTTTAGGCTCCCATCCTACTCTTTTCTATTCTCCATTCACTCTATTACTCTATTCTACTTTCCCATTCCACTCATTCCACTATATTTTACTCTTTACATTCTACCCTATACCTTACAGTCTTTACACTGCATCTATTCTTTTCTACTAATATAATTAATTCTAGTTTTATTCTTTGAACTCTTGAATCCAATATTTTATATTTTTACCAATTTATCATAAATCTATATAATCTATCACAAAAAAATCATGTTCAATAAACCTTATTTCTTTATCAATCTAACCTTTTTTTTTTAAACATTATCTTCAACAATATCACATTCTACTCACATTACAATATATACCATCATATGCAATCATCTTTTTAAATCGTGTAATAACTTGTCTCCTCGTTTTATTTATTTATATTATTATTTATTTTATATTATTTAAATATTATTTTATTTTATTTAAATTATATTATATTATATTATTTATATTTATTTATATAATCGAAAATTTTATATAATTTACACCGAATGCAAATTTATTATTTTATTTGCAAATTATATTATTAATCTATATTATCAGTTATCAATTTATACAATTTATACAATTTATACAATTTATACGGTTTATATACTATCAATTTACTTTTTTAACTATTTTAAATTGTCCTTAAAATTGATACAAATACCTCGTTAAATCCATCAAAATTTCTCAAATTTTTTTTTTTTTTGAAAAAATATTTCTTCTTTCTCTTAATTTGCTTTTTACTATTGTCATTTTTGTGTGTTTACTTGTTTTCTTTTTTTAAAGAAATATTTTCTTCTGTGGATGCAATTTACGCTACACACAAACACATAATATATTCATACCTATATTTAATAATCATTTTAATTTTCTCTAGTTGTTTATTATTATTATATATATATATATTCGTTTTAGATTTAGTTTGATAAGAAAAATAATCAAATATTTGTCATCAATTAATAATAATAATGTTTGGCACCACTTTTCCTTATCATAATCCCAAAGGTCTATTTAACAGCATAACAATTCCATCGGCTTTACCTTCCCCTTTGGTTATGTTTCCGTTAAGTGGTTACTTCTCCCAAGAACAAAATATACCTTCTCAACAAACTATCCCTTCACAAAATATTCCTCATTCTGCGCCACAACAACCTATTCATAACAATAAACATTCTTCCCGAAAAAGTACTCAACAACAACAAAAACAATCTTTATCAAAAAATTCTTTTTCTGCTGCTATTGCTTCTGCTTTTGTAGGAGGAAATATGGGCAACATTTTAACTTTGACCCGCAATAATAATAATAATAATAATAATAATAACAACAGTAATAATAATAACAGTAATAATGATAATTGTAATAATGACAACAACAACTGCAATAATGATTTAAACAAATGTCCAGATTCTCCTCCCAATTCCGTTCATCCTCCTCATCGTAGAAAAAAACAATCAAATAAAATCAACAGAAAGAAAATTGACCAAGCGATTGCATTCTCTGCTTTTTCTGTAGAGGAAGATCACCAGGGAAATCCAGAGTGTGCGAATGATCTTTATTTTCTTGCTCTAGAACAATTATTAGAAGCGTTTCCATGTAAGTAATAATATTACATGAATTTATGATGATTAGCATGTGAATAATGAATATTGTGTTCAATCACGTGACAAAATTAATTTACCAAATTAATCTTTGTTAATTCAGTTCAAAATGATCAATCACGAAGAGTTTTATTCTTAAATAACTTAAAAGCTTTCCTGGAACGTACCGGATTAATTAAAGAAATTTCCGGAATGGCACAAACCACCATTCCACAATTTACAAATGAATGTGATTGCACATTACCCCGTCAAAATCGTCAAAATCGTCAAAACCGTGAAAAGGGAGTTTCAGACCTTATAACTAATGCAGTTGTAACAAGTGCAGTAGCATTAAAACAATCACCAATTCCCGATGCCATAACAGCTACCGTGAATTATACCACGAAGATAATCAGGAATATTGATGAAGCCTATGAATTACAAGATAAGGCTTGGAAAATATCAAAAACAGGAATTAATTTCGCATTAGAACTTGACCAACATTATAATGTTCACGAAAAAGTTGGTAACTTTTGCTTCACAACATTTGCAGCTATTATGAAAGCCGGAATTGCCTACAAAGATTCACCCTCATACAGTCAATTGAACGAATTGAGAAAACAAGAATTTTTTGATAATGATGATTCTACATGTATAATCACTGAAGGTTGCGAGGAACTATAATTAGATATAATATAATTAGATCAAAGGATAATATCAATTAGATAATAATTACTATACATGATACATGTGAATAATAATAATAATAATAATAATAATAATTAACCAATATAGAAAGATTTGAAAAAATATTATTCGTCAAAAAAAACTAACTATAACACAAATTTATAATACATTCCATATACTTTTTTTGATATTCACATTCATAAAAAAAATAAATATATATAATAAAAAATCCATATTTTCAATTCTTTACTCATCGTACACGTACATATGAAATGCTTTTCTTTTCACAGGTTGGATAAGGTAAAATTAGGGTATCTTTGCCTCTTCAATGATATATATAGACAAAAGAATGATGACAAAACGTGTAATTCATGGTCATTTGTCTATTTTTTATTTTTTTATTTGACCTTTGAAGATTAATCCTCTATTGCGAATCACGTTACCCAATTTTTTAATACTATTATATAGTTTCCTTTAAAAATATTTACCAGATTTACACATGTGATAAACTTTCTTTTTCAAATTATAATTTTTATCATATGCATACTTTAAATATTTTATTTGACTTAACTATTTATATCAAAAATGTGAATTCTCATATGAAATTGGTATTTTATTATTCTATTCCCTTTCACGTGTCACCCGCAGACTAACATGTCACCATTACTGTATACATCATCAAACTATATGAACTAGAGTGACAATTACTAGTGACGTACAAGTTTAATGCTTATTTTTGTATTTTGTAGAAATGTGTAAAAATTATTCATTCAAAAACAATAAAAAATTTTATTCGTTAATATTCTTGCTTGTGTTTCACGTTTGGAGAAGTGTTAAACTCTGATCCATAATATTTATTTTAGCACATATTTTATCGAATATGATGTCATGGTTTATTATTCACACACACACGCGAATATAATGCGCTATTGTGCTATTATACGTAAAATTACAAATCAATTCTATCTCCTAAAGAATCTATAAATCACTCTGATATCATTTAATTATTAAATTTAAAAAAATTGATATTAAATAAATAAATTGATAATAAATGATATAAATTAAAAAATTGATCTAGTTTTAAGTTTGATAATATATATATTTTAAACTATGCGGGTCCCAAGTTCAAATTTACTTTATTTGGATGAACTAATAATGGTTTCACTTTAATTATATCACCAATTCCTCCACCTTCCGAGCCAGAAAATCTACCCTGAATTCCGAACTCTCTTAATAAAACTGTTTTATCACCTTTCTCCAAAACATCAACTGTAACTGCTGTTAACTCTGGCATAGTTCCACTTTTCATAAAGCGTTCAAATAAACTAAGTATCCAGAATTTTTCACTACGTACTTGTGTCCTACTTATTTCTTTTTCTCTTGTTCGAATATGTTGAGTCATATTTTCCAGGTCTTCTTTAGAAAATGGATACTTTGTGCCAAGAAGATTAGCTTTCATTTGCCAATGTACCAATATATCACAATATCTACGCAATGGTGATGTAACTTTGGAATATCCATCTGCTATTCCCATAGCCCAATGTGGTCCAGATTCTGTTGAAAGTTCTGCGGCTGCCATCAATGGGCGCATCTTTACTACTGATGTTAATGGAATAACACCATTCCGCATATCCTTATATTTTTTTTCCTCTTCCACTATTGGCGAATTAGGAACAAGTTGTTTCCTGTATAATGTGGGTATATTACGTTCTTTACAAAATTTTGCTGCAACAACACCAGCCAAGATCATATATTCTGCAATCATTGCACGAGCAGGAGAATGCATACTCTTATCAAGTTGTACTTGAATTGTAGGAATTCCTAAATATGAAATTGGCCCTTGAGGATAGGGATTTGCAGATGGAAGTGGAAATGGTGATATTTGGATAGCTGGTTGTGAGATTCCCATGTTGATAGCTCCAACATTTATTCGATTTTTCATGTGCAAGAATGAAATTTTCTGCAATTCCCGAAGGTCACGTTTCGAAGATTCAGGTAACTCTTTATACACATTTATTGGTGGGGGAATTGGTCTAGGATGGTAATGTAGTTGTTTATGAACAAACTCGATTTCTTCTTTTGAACCTCCAATGTTTTCCCACGATAAGATCGTGTCTACATCATCATAATATAAACATTTCACGTTTCTGACAATACCCGTTCGAACTTTATAATCTAATATATTTCCATCATCTCCTATTCGAACACTAAATGACATAACAGAATTTCCATTGATTCCTGCATCAGTACCTAAACTAAATCTTTTTTCACTCATAGAGGAAGGTATCATTGCATAATTTCGATCAGGGAAATATACACTTTGAACTCTTGATAACGCAATTTGTGACAACTGATGAGAAGGATGAATAACTGAAGATGGATCTGCGATATGAATATGCACCCAAGTTGAGGAAGGCTCGAATTTATTACTATCAAGTCGTTCAATTGATATTCCATCATCAAGTTCATGTGCTGTATGATCGTCTACTGTATAAACAGGAAGATCCCCAAAATCATGTCGAATATCTTCGCAAATATCATATGGATAGAAATCATTTGGTCCAAGATTTGGCAATGTTTTATTAAGCAAAGATACTTTAGAAAAATTTGATCCATTTTCAGAAGAATTCTTTTTTTTGTAAACAAAAGGATTCGTTTTCATTAGATTACTAGCCAATTTTATTGATGTTTCATGATCACTGTCTGCCTTTCGCGAAACTCCGTGGCCATTCAACATAATTGTTGGATCGTAAACATTCAAATTTTCCCATGGTGTCCATACGCCAATGTCTTTTAAGAATTTAATTGCGCAATCTTTATCAAGATCACAATCGTATAATTTAGTGGGTTTAAGTATAGCAGCTATTTGAGCATCAAATGCATTAAAGCCTACAATATGGGATTTGAAAAAATTAATGAACAATTTGTCATCCTCTGTAAAATTGGGTAATTCTTTGATTCTATTAGAGGAAATTGTGTAATCATTTTCGTTAATATTTAATAAACGTTTATAATTAACGATTGTTATTGCTTTTGACTGAAACTCGGCAAGTTTTGGATCCCGTAATCTAATCCACTCCATTACTTTTGCAATTGCTTGGACATCAACTTTCGCTCTTAATCGAAAAGTTCCATTATCCCTTAACTTTTTAGTATCAGTTATAAAGTATGTATTTTCTTTTATTAAAAACAAGATCGTTGCTAGAGTTTGTGAATGTTCTGGCTTAGTTGTTTTAAATACATGGCAAGCCACATCATTAACTGTGAGTGTTCTTAATTCTGTATCATCAGCAGGTGCAAAATGTGGGTACACTTGACGAAATTCAAGGATTTTGGATTGTAAAAGAATCAACGCAGATTTAGATAAATCTCCTGCAATTTTTCCATAATTAGAAGGAATAGGAGTTTCTGGTGTGAGAAGAGTGTCACCTAATTTTTTAATGTATGCGAATTTAGGAACGATAAATACAACATCATCATCACGATGAGCAATCGTATGACCATTTGATAATAAAATATGATTCTTTCCCATTGATGTAGGGTCCGTGCGCAACTTGACGACTAATCCTGAATAAGATTTATCATTTCTTTATAGATAATGTTAATAAATTCTAATTAATTACGGTATACGATAAAGCAAATTAATATAAATTACAATTTTCTAAATTTTAATGTATTTTATTTTACCTTCGTAATTCAACATAATCACCAATTTCAAATCGAGCTCTCTGGGACGTTTGATTCTCAATTCCTGGAGAAATAATAGATTCTGATTCCGTGACATTTTCTTTCATCAAATCAGTAATTGCATGAACCTTTTTCGTTTGCGTTTGCATATCTTTCTTTGTAGATTGAATATTCATTTTAATGTTTTCTTCTATAATTATTGAAGGTTTTTTAAGATCCTGCGAGCCTTCTGTAAGCATGGATTTCTTTTTATGCAATTCTGTATGTTCTTGTTTTTGGGGTATACTTAAAACTACTGGAATGTCAGTAACCTTTTTTGTCTGCGTTTGCTTATTCTCATATTGAATATTCATTTTAGATTTAATGGCATTTTTTTCTAAAATTATTGAAGTTTTTTTAAGATCCCGGGAGTCTTCTGTAAGCATGGATTTCTTTTTTTGCAACTCTGCACGTTCTTGTTTTTTAGGTTCTTTACTTAAAACCACTGGAATGTCTGTAACCTTTTTCATCTGTTTATTTTCATCCTTTTTCGTAAGTTTAATATTACGAGAGCCTTTCGTAGATTTGGGCTTATTTTTATGTAATTTGTCATGTTCTTGTTCGGGTCTTGAAATTTTGGGTTCTTTACTTAAAAAAAGTAATGCAGATATTTTTTTTTAAAAAAAAAAAATTATTCAAATAATGAATTGAAAAAATCATATTAAAAATACAAACCCCAATGTATTTACCCTAAATTTTTCAATGGCTTTAGAATCATTTTGCTTTGTATAGAGTCAATAATTTCTTTATTTTTCAATGGTAAACTATTTTTATTTGAGTTAATATGAACTTTTACATTTTGAGACTTTTTATTTGGTTTAGAGAAAGTTGTCTCGGTAAGAAGTCGTTTATGCAAAAAAGCAACATTATTTGAAAAACTTTTCAGGTCTCTTTTTAGAGTTGCAAGTGAGTATATATCTAATTGCAATACTCTTAATAAGACCACCATTTTTTGAAAAGTTATTTGAACTTAATACATACAAAAAAAAAATTTATATATCTGATTATCGGTATCATTCATCCACTGTACGACCGTTTTTTTTTACCATACCTCAACATCTCGTTTTGTGAATTTAGTCACTGAAGCAAATCTTTACTGAAGAAGGAATCAATCAATGTTTTGGTTCCTTTTTGCACAAATAGGAGAAAGATGAAAAAAAGACTGTCGGTTGTGATGTAGAACGAACGAAACTCCCAATGAAACTGACAACAAATTTTACATAAGCACGAATTGTTCATTTAGTTCATCTGCAAAATATTGAATGTCCTAAAATTTGCTTATTTTCTTCATTCAACCTGTGCATACATCAGTTTTTTGCAATACCAGATTTCCAAATGTTTTGGCTTTTAGTCCTCTAAAGCAGCTCCTTGCTAAAATTTATATCTTATAAAATCGGTGCTTGTTTTCTTTATTACAGATTATATGTATTATGTGTTTATTACTTGTCATCACAATGCTTGGGTTTTTTGTATATATGAAATGAAGTAAATGAAGTGTAAACTTTTGATTTTTCCACATTTTCTCTCAAAATGAAAGAAGGTATAGAAACCTAATGGATGTTCTCTTTTACGTATCATAGATAATGTACCTATTAAAAAGAAAAAAAGCTTATAATGAGACTTGTATAATTTTCTTCCTTTCTATTAATATTTATTGGTTCAGATCTTCGGGTGTTCTTGTCAACGAAATTTGAATGAATCTACTTTTGTTACCGGCAGGCGCGACCAAGAAGAATATAAACCCAAAAAATTAATGAAACATTTGCATTAGTTTCTTTTTTGTTAAGTAATTTTATAATTTTCAAAGATTAATTTTGTCAAAATAATTATCTTCTATGAAAAAATGGTGGTTATTATTTCTACATATGTAATTTTTTTTTTTCTATTTTGTAGAAAGTTCTTTAAAGAAAATAAGATATAAAATTTTTTTAATTTATTTCAGAATCTGTATTGGCTACGAAGAGTTCTTATATTCAAAATAAAAAAAAAACTCATTTAAAATTAATTATGTTAATAAATTTTTTTGTTATTTGTAATTCGAATAAAGAATCTTAATATTCAAAAAATCTATAGCTTTTTTCTGCCCAGGGCTAATAATACAGCATAAAAGCACGATTTTTTTGATCCTCATTTAATTACACAAAAAATATTTATCATCAAAGTTGAAAAATACATAAAATATTTTTTTATATTTAAAAGTATGCTTAGTGATAAAGGCTATTGAATTCACGGCTTATTTATTCATTAATTGAATTTGATAGAAAGAAATAAAATTTATGTTCTAAAAATATCTCAAAGCCATAAAAAAATAAATAAACAAAAAATAGGAGCCGAACTTAATGAATACGTGATTCGATCAGGTATTTAACTTTATCGATAGAATTAGAAGCCCAAAACCTATGGTATTTTTTCATAAGTTATAATATAGTGTAAACATTTAACAAGTAATTTATTTGAGAATTAAAAAAAAAAAACCTCCAATGCATACAACCTATAAACAAATGGCATTGTCAAATTTTTTAACATTTACAAATATTAAAAAAACCAAAATTAAATAGCAATATAGAAATTATTTACAAAGAAATAAAGAATCGAAAGATTGTGTAAAATATCATATGAATTATAATTATAGATTATATAAATCTTGTCTAAAGCCAACAGGAGTTTTTTCTTCTTTGCCGTCTTCCAAAGAATAAGCATTCAAGATTACGTCCCCTGCAACTCTATTTTCCCTAAAATTTCTTATCGCCTCTTTGGCAAAACCCGAAACGTCATCATCTTCAGCAAACCACAAAGTTTTTTGGATATCTTTATTGATGGTATTTTCTTCGTCGGTATATTTAATGGGATTAAAGATTGCTGGTGGCGAAGCTGAAATATGTGAGAACAAATCTTGAGCAGCTTTTTCCAACAATTGTTGTATTTCATCAAGTTTTTTTATGTCTGCACTTTTCAAATCAACTTCTAATTCCAAATCCGAATATGATTCTAAATTTGGATCTTTAATTCTGTTACCACCCAACCCATATTTTGCTTTGATATCATCGATTGTGGTCTTCAAGGACCAATAATCTTTATCGGCTTCGTATGCTGTTGGTGCGGCATGTTTTACGTTTGAACTTGCGTTAATATTTCTAGTAAATTGGGTTGAAATTGGAAATGCATATTTCATAGAAGAACGACTTATTATTGAATTTTGAGAATTCAAATAGTTGGCAAAGCCTCTGCTTGAGCGAAAAGCAAATCTTGATAAAGACATTTTTTTTTAATAAATTGATTTTATTACTATAATATGAAAATATTAATTTAATAAAAATATAAAAAAAGTGGTGATGGTAAAATGGTCCCTTTTTATAATTGCCACCACCGAAAATCCAGATTGTAAGTTTGGTAATAAAAAAGAAAAGATTTTCATTCGTGCGAATCTTACAAAATCAATAACAATGTGGATTATGCATTGTACCATGGGAAAAAAAGACCATGTGAAATTATCTATTAGCGTACAATGACATAATTTTTAAGCAAATAACGTTATGTGAATATATCTACTATAATATCTACTATATCTACTATATCTACTAAACGAAATTGCAAGCCTTACAAAAGATCATGTGTACATCGTTGATCAACGTTTTCCTTTATCCTTTATACAGTAATCTGGTTTAAACGTGCATCGACAAGTTTAGTATAACCTTATTTCCGGTGGGAATTTAGATACCATTATTAATACCATAATTGGTAGAATTTGCGATGCATAGGGGGGATACACAGTATAGATCGTATGGAGTTAGTGCTATTTCCTTTTTATTTGATCGAAATGAAAAATAAATAATTTTACATATTCGCTTATGTAACTAATGTAAATTTCTAAAAAATATCGCAGAATATTTAACCGCGACTATATAATGTAGCTGAACGATTGTGGAGTTCACGACCCTGTGTATGCATATGTGAAATCGATCTGGGTCAGCTTTATTGACAACAAATATCATTGATTCGAAATATTCGTTTGAAATTATTTTTCAAGTACAAAAAAAAAGACAATAAAGTATAGTATAAGGTCTAACTGTAAAAGGATGTGAAGATTTATTATGATTTATTAACTATAAAGAATTATCTGCAAAAATACATATTATGGAAATTAGGAAATTCGATAGCAACCAATGCCAATGTACGTGTAGTAAATTCCTTATGCCTATTGGTAAGTGTATAATATGGTGTAATACAAAAGTATTCTCTATAGGTTTAGGTTAGCATTTTTAAGTAACGTGACGCTACTGGGTAATATTTTATATGCCACGTGATATTTCTCTTGTTTAATGCACTTATCCTATACCCCTTTTATTAGGGTATAGATTCTTTATCCTATTGATTTATAATTTAACAAATAATCAGAAGGATTTTATATATTTATTCTAGTATTACCATTGATACTACCTGGTTGGAAGAATGATAACAAGTACAATAAAGTGTTTAAGTTTAGTCCAGTAGTTATTAGAGGTTTGAAAAATATGGAAGAACTTATAATACTAATAAAAACACTAATTTATTTTTTAGGATTGGAATAAAGTAAAATTCTAAGGTATTGTTGAACCAACTTGTGAACAAGGATCTGAAAGATAACAAATATTCTCAAATAAATATCTTAACCTACTTAAATAATTTATTACAATTTTATAAGGATTACTAAAATCAATTCAACTTAAACTATTTATCAAAAACTTTTAAGAAAGTGAGTTTTTTATTATAAAAGAGTTTTAATACATTAAACTAACTTGTCCGCTTGGTAAGATATATAGCTAAAAGTTAATTATACAAGATTTATTTAGAATTTATAGATGATTATATGACAAATTAATAATATAGAAAATTAATAAGAATATTTAATAGATTATAACTTTATTAATAAATATAATAATAAATATAAAGATAAAATATAAAATAAAAGTAAAAATTAGAAATTAAAGGTATTAAATAAAGACTATCAAAAGGAACTTCAGATCTATTCAAATTTCTTATTTGAATCTCTACTTCTTGTCTCTCTAAAAAAAAATTGAAAGCAATAAATTATGGGATGAGATGTACAATCCAACTTTCGTCAATGTAAGTAATTTATTTATTTTCTTTACAAAAAAAATTATTTTGCTCATAATATTCTTAATATTCTAAAAAAAAAAAAAATTGTCAATGAAATTGTGAACAAGACAATTTTGAAAACAATTTATCCAAGTGATAAAGTATTGAAAGCAATTGCTGCGGACTATGTTATTCAAAAATATCCAGAGTTTTTCGAAAATTGGAATGACAAACGTTGGATATTTTATTACGATTTAACTATTCAAAAAAAAAATAAGTTTTATCGAATTACATTATAATTTAAATGCTCTAATAATTGACAAAAGATTTTGAATTATTTAAAGTTAATAG